ATGTGCTTTCATACTTTTTATTTTATACTGATATAAATAATATTTGAATCACATTTTCTCCACTCAATGATACTAGTGATAATTTTTGTTTTATTTGGAAAACAATTTTTGCATTCTTTATTTCGTAAAAAACAACTCCAGAAGGTAGAAGGCAGAAGGCGGAAGGCATAACTCAACTCTCAGTTTTCATCTAGTTTTGGAAACAAATTCCAAGTCTCCATTCTCAACTCTCTTACACACGACTTAGATTATTTATGCTCTTATTCAACTTTGAAGCACCATCGTTTGCAATAAAGTCGGGACTCAGGAGGAAAGATCAAAGATCCACTCTTTGATTTACATCATTTACAGGTAAAACTTATTTTATTTTATACAATTTAAATACCTGATTTGTTTTATACAATTTACAGGTAAAACTTTTTTTTTTTTTTTTATACAATTATACAATTTACATAATTTAGTTTTTTTTTTTTACAATATGTGGTTTTTTTGTGCTATGTGTCAACGATTTTGGGTTTCATTTTCAATTTTAAAAATTATGGTTCCAATTTACTAATGTTTAGGGTTTCAATTTCAAAAATTATGGTTCCAATTTACAAATGTTTATTGTTCATTTGTCCCATAAAATATATTAAAGGGGAGTCAGGAAACTAAGCAGTTAATTTGCACGTTGGAAAATTGACATGTATGCAGTATACAAAATGTTGCATGCTTAATAGTTATTAGTTAATATGATATATGGACTTTGTAATTGCAATTTACAATTATAAGTTTACAACCATATTTTCGCCTGAATAATATATTTCTTTTTAAAACAGTTATGCAGAAAATTGATCAAATATTTAAAAGAAAATCACAGTTGACACCCCTTGTAGAAAAAATAAATGATGATGGTTTAAAGCAAAGTCGTATCGACGTCAACTTTGACGATTCTCATTACCGAAAAACATCTTGTTAATTTGCTTGTTAGTTTATGATTGAAATAATTAAACAAAATATTGTTTTTTTTTATTCTCAGGATTCACAAAGTGCTTGGACTTGGAGATAGAGTATGATTACTTTCCGATGGCTCAAAATTCAACCGTTGTTAAATTTTTTTTTTCCCGTCAAATACAATATGTCCCCTCTCAAATGAAATCCTAGCTCCGCCCCTGCCTGTCAACGATTCTTCTACTCGTGATTCTTCTTAAGCATCTTCAAGAAGCCTGCTACTTTATTTTATTCTTTTACCCGTGATTCTTCTGAAGCATCTTCAAGATGCCTACTACTTGATTTCCTGCTGCTACTACTAATTGATAGTACTTGATCACATGGTTGATATCACATAGGCGTGTGATCACTATACACTTTTATTGCTCTGCAAATTACATTTGATGCTCATGTAGCCACGTGGCAGCCTCCAACGCTGCCACGTGGTAGCCAACCTTCGCCTGCCACGTGGCAACCTCCGACGCAACCCAACACCTTCTCCTATTGCAGCATAGCAGCCCAACACCTTCTCCTGCTGCCTGTCACGTGATAGCCTTCGATGCAAGCAGCCTACCTAGTTTGCTGCCTGCCACGCTGCTGCCTCCGACGTTGCCGCGTGGCAACCCACTCTTTCGCTGCCTGCCTGCCACGTGGCAACCTCCACCGTTGCCACATAGCAGCCTTCACTTATTAACCTCCTCCTTTAATTAAAAAAGGAAACAAAGAGAAAGAAAGTTTACCTTAAAGATAATGAAGGAAGCAAAATGTTCTTCCTCCATGTTCCTTAAATAAGGAGAACAGGTGAACAAAAAACAAATATATATATATATATATATATATATATATTGAAGGTGTGCATTGAATGATTTTGAAGCACACCTCTCAGCGATTCTTCTACTCGTGATTCTTCTGAAGCATCTTCAAGAAACTTATTTTCTCCTGCTGCTACTAACTGATAGCACTTGATCACATGGCTGATGTTGCGTACTGGACCACATGGGTGTATATCACATAGGTGTGATCAGTATACACTTTAATGCCTCTGCAAATTACTTTTGATACTCCTGTAGCCAAGTGGTAACCTCCGACACTGCCACGTGGCAGCCAACCTTTTCTCCTACTGCCGTGTGGTAGCCCAACACCTTCTCCTGCTACCTGTCATGTGGCAGCCAAAACGCTACCGCGTGGCAGCCCACCTACTTCGCTGGCTGCCACATGGTAATCTCTAACGCTGTCGTATGGCAGCCTTCACCTGTTAACCTCCTCTTTTAATTAAAATAGCTCTTGCATTATTAGGAGAAGCTCGAACCATGTGGGCTACATGAGCCCATGTGTATTTATTCAACAAATAAAATATATGTATGTTGTCTTTACTAATTGACTCAAAAAATAAATATATCATGGTGAAGAATAACTAAAGAAATAAATATTTGCATTCTATACGTTCAACAAATAAACACGAGAATGTGGGGCGACTAATAAGGAGTCTTCACCTAGGAAGTTTGACTGTCGCACAAATCTACAAATCAAGATAAATTCCAGTATTTCAGATAAAGATAAGAATTAGCTCCCCTTCCATATAGGAGAACTAAGAGGTATAACACTCCTCTTTTATTGCAACTTGACACCCCTACAAAGAGGGCGTTCGGGTTAATAGAAAAGGTACGATACAAATTCCTAAGAAAGTCCTTTAACCTTCTTTTCACCCTCCTGGTCTGGCATTGACTTGATCGTCGAAAGCTCCTAGGCCAGTACCACATCGATACCTTCTGTCACATTTCTCTTCCTTTTCAGGTACGACGTTGCTTCAGGTCGCCGCTGAATCCTGCATCATCAGCTTTCAAAATATGAGAACCCATCAAGGACAGTTGTAATTGTATTTAATGAAAATATTATCAATTAATCGATATTTTGGTTCTTTATTTGTAAGTTTTCTTGCTTATTTTTTTATTTTATATATATATATATATATATATATATATATATATATATATGAGATTATATATGAACAATTTATATTTGTCATTTTAATTAGTTGATTTTTATATCAAGTATGTTGTGCCCGCGAACTCGCCCGAAAAACCAGTCATGACGATGTCGTACCAAGTGATCGACTAACTATCAAGAAGTTTGCAAACTTTAAATGCAAATGGGGTGGAAGGTGTGATGTGATAAGACCACTGTGTTTGGAGTCGCCACCTAACATTAAGTTTTGGTATGTTAGGTTACCTAATGAAAGCATGGAATGGAATATAGTGAAAATGTGGGCAGTTATGTGAATCTCGACTAACTGGCGTAAACCAAATCAATAAATTTGGGAGTTTGATTACGTTTAGGGAATGTGTTAGGCACCCCAGGTATAGTTACTTACTTTACATGTGACGTTACCTATATGTTAGATGTTACAAGGGGAGACTTATCCCACATCGGATCCGGATAGGAAGTAAAATGGGTATAAATGGGTAGGTATGCAGCACTGCCCAATAGTTTAAGTTTTTGAGTAAATGGGCAAGCGCCCACCCGTTACAGTTGGTATCAGAGCCACACCCAGTATTTGATCTGGTGCCACGCCAAGTGCTCGACCTAGAAGGTATTCAGGTGTGCCACCCAAGTAGGCAGGGTGGCCCGACCGCAACTAGGACGTTGCAAGTTCGGGTGAGGGAGAATGTTACAAGAGAGACTTATCTCACATTAAATTTAGATAGGAGGTGAAATGGATATAAATTAGTGGATATGTAACATTATCTAATAATTTAAACTTTTAACTAAATAGGTAAGTGATTACCGGTTACATTTAACTAATTCAATACTTTTATATAAAAGATTATTGGGTGTTTTACTTTAAGGAAGCGAATTGTTTTGATTCAAATTAAGTGAAATAAAGAATTATTGCTTGTTTGTTCAAGTTTTCCTTAGCCAATGGTGTGGCTAAGCATAATGGATAAGATTTAAGTCCATTGTACTGGCCTTGATAAGCTGGCTCGTAGTTGGAGTACAACATGCTTCAAGGACATCCCGAAGGTAAATTTTACAACTCTACTCTTAATTTATGTAAGTAACATATAGGAATATTTAGTTTGCATATCTTATAATTGCTGAATTTTTTTTTAGTAATAGATCTTGTTAATTTACATTTTTTGATATATATCTTTACAAAATTACATTACCAAAATTATAGTATCGCCCCACTTACACGATTTTCTGACTCTGTCTTTGGACATCATCAAAAATAAAATATACAACTTTACTCTTAATTTATGTGAGTAACATATAATATTTAATTGTAAGTTTATGAATTTTTCTTTTACTCTAGCTTTTTGAATGGTTTGTGTTAGAGGAATTCTTGCCCAAGTTTCATGGAAAATGATAGGTTCTTAAATTTTAACCTAAGGCCAATCTCAATTACTAAAAACACTTTATGCATCGAATCTGTTGGCCAAGCCCCGTTGATGGCCCCCACTGAAAATTGCTATTATTTGTATATGATAATTATATAGTCTCCCCCACTTAACTCCTAAAAAATGACTTTTAAAATTCAAAATGACCCTTATTTTCTAACTCATTTGGCCAACAAGATTTTCAAATTTTATAAAAGAACTGTCTTTTCTCCTCTAACAGGTCCCACAAAATTTTTAAGAATCAAAATTAGTTTGCTATTTTTAAAATCTTATTTTTATATATATTAATATTTAAAAATAAACTTTTTAAGAGTTTGATTATAATAATAAATTTAAATAACTTTTTAGACTTTTTTCTGCAAAAAAATAAGCCAGCCAAATATATTAACTCAATTATACCAACTCGAACTGGGCAAGTTTAGTTGACAGTTTAACTCTTTGTAAACGTCGTCGTCGGATAAATTGGGCCGAGCCCAAAACTACGTTGTCCTAAAGTGCAATTGACTAGATATATTATGACGCAAGGCCCGCCTAGGGCACGTGAATCTGAGAAATCAGCGCGGGCTCCAACCCGAAAATTTAATCAAATTCGAATCTCAGTTTTCAGTTCCGCGAACCGCCTCTGAAAACCCTAGAGAGATAGGGAGAGGCTTTGCTCTCTACCTTTCTTCTACTATTTTCTTTGTTTCATCACAAAATCGTTATATATATATATATAGTTATATACAAATATATTCATATCATCTTGTTGTTGTATCGATTTGTTTAGATCTTTATTATTGTAATGGAGTTTGGGCGAAAGAGAGGGAGGCCAGACGGTGCCTTTTTTGGGAATGGAGGATTCAAGAAATCAAAACAAGGTTTGTCTCTCTGCAAAGCTCTCTTACTGTTTCAACTGTTTGCTTTGTCGATTTTTATTGTTATATTGTTCGGTTTATATCTTTATTGTATCTTCAAAATTGTTTTAAGAATATTATTGGGTCAAATATTTCTTCTCTTCTTTTTTTTGAACTTTTTATTTGGATATCTGCGATACTTTTTTTTTTTTTTAGGGTTTGTTGTTTGCCTTTTTGGGTTACTCGCTTTGAGCTAGAGATAATATTAATTTATAATTTTTGTAGCTTTTTTCCCGTGTGTTTCTGTATGGTTGAATCCTATTTTCAGAGTGCTGCAAAATATATATATATATGATTTCCCTTAATTCTTTTTACTTATTAATCTCCTCAGAACAATGAATGAAGGTAAAATTTGTTCTTATTGGACAATAAAAAGATTTGGTTCTGGTTTTCTTTTCTTTTTTTTTTTTTCTTTTTTTTTTTGGGTGGGTTGGGGGGTTAGAGTTTGCTCTGTAATTTTCAGTTGTGGGTAGTGTGTGTGTGTTGTGCTTCATGTGTTTTGGTATGTAGTCTATCTGCATGGTCTGCACCCCCATGGCCCTTTAGTGTTATTTCTTACTTGTTTATGCGAGAAAAAAAATAAAAATAAAAATAAAAGGGGAAAAAAAAACTGAAAAGTTCACACAAGGCAAAGAAGAAATTATAATTTTCCTGAGATGGGTATGGGTTCTCAAATTGGCCATGATCATGATTATCTTTGTTAAATGATTAAATGAACCAGAATTTATGTGTTTAATCATGGTGTCCAAACCTTTGTTGTTTTGTTTGTTTGATCCATATAATTCTAGAAAGATGGTCTCTCCCAAAGGGAATTTTTACTTGCAATTAATTTGTTGATTTCATTTCTGGATTTAATACATTGTTAAATTGGTATAGTTGATAATGAAATAGATTCAATTTGATTTGAATAATTCGTAATATTTGTTAAAGATGTATTTTTAATTATTCATTAATTATTGGTAATGTTATTCTGGATGTTCATGAAAGTTCCCTGATTAAGGACTCATTGAAATCTTAACTGAGAAAAATAATTAATTTTCTGTAACAGAAATGGAGTCCTTTTCAACTGGTATTGGTGGAAAATCAAAGCCATGCATGAAGTTTTTCAGGTTGTAATCTATACTCATCCAACATAAATACTCTAAGTTTACATTTTTTATTTAAATTTATAAAATTCAAATAAAATAAGACTTGTGTACACCAGCTTTGCAAGCAAGGGTACTGTGGTTTTATGATGAATTTAGCATTTAATCTTATGGTACTACTTATTCTGTTCATGTCAGTTAGTTTGTGAAGGAGTTATTCACTTGCAAGATATAATCAGATGTAAGCAACCGTAAGTATACAAATGATTCAAAGGATGTTTTTTTAGAAGCGTGTAAATCTTGTCATTTTAGGACAATTAAATTAAATTCTCAAAGGGAGCAACTATTGGGTGACAAGGCTGTTACCATAAATTTGTTAACATCCCAATCAAGCAAAGCTACCCATGGATAACAAATAGGTTGCAATTCTGAACATTAAAAATCTAGATGGCTTCTTGATTGCGGTGTTGAAGTTTTTGTAAGTACTTTCAATCCTACTACCTTCATCTGAAGTTTGATGTTTATGTTCTAACTTTTTGAGGAAACATTTTTTGATAATGAATATCCCTTTTTGAAATTTGAAAACTAACCCTCCAAAATATGAAGATTACATTGGTAAGTAGGAAAAGTTATAAATATCTTAGGATAATTTAGGAAAGTGTAACGTCTTTTTTTTTCTCTACTTATCAAATGAGGACATTTGTTTGGGGACATTCTTAAAAGAAGAGAGATACAATTATTTTGGAACAGAGCATCTTTTACTTTCAATGAATCATTATATCAAGACTTGGGCAGGTATTTATTGTAATACATTGCTTCTAAAATTTTATTGTGGCTTAAACTTTCCATTTTATTTTAGTTCTAACAAGTCGTAAGATTCATAACAAGATCTATGGGTATCAAGACGCCTTCCAGGTGAAGTTTTGGACCATATCAATAATTTTGGTAGGCTCGTGATCCACATTGCTGATGCTCATAAGCAATTAGCTCTTGTTGTTAGCTGCAGATATTATTTAGGGCTCTTGAACCAAAAAGGTGTAGAGCTGAATTATTGTTTGAAGGTTTAGTTCTTTCTCTATAAAATTCAGTTCTTAGAACTGTGTATTAAACATAACTTTGTAGTAGCTGAAATGCATTTAACCTAAAAATGAATTATTAAAACTCAAAATAATTTTAGAAAATAAATGGACTTTATTTGTAATGAAACTTTTTGACAGGATAAACTTGTTGATTCTAAGAGGTCTTACATGTGCTATTTATGCTCAATCATCTCATTATTATTGATTAGTGCCCTTTTAGGATTTATCCGTTGCAAACCCATGATTTTTAGAATGATCATTATGAGGAACAAACATTATCCTCTCAGGACTGTAGGGTTTGGGCAGGACCGCTGGAGTAAATTGAATTTTTTTTCTTCATTTTCTTGTTAGAAATCATCTAATCATAAATCAGTATCTTTTCTGCCCCCAGCATGGTTTCACGTGGGGTTTCTTGGCATCTTACATGTCATTTTGGTTTGTATATATTACACAAATATGTAATTGATGACTTTAACCTTAATTAACAAATCATAAGACAGGGTTACAGCTAACCATAAAATATATTCAATTCTAGAAATCTGATATTAAATAATTATTTTTGGACAAAACAAGAAGCTACATTTACTATAGCAACAACAATATTCAGAGTTAAGTGACGAAAAAAATTATTTAGAAACTGCTCTTTGTATTCCTGAAACTCACTCTATTGAACACTATACTGAATGAACACTTCAAATTATGCCAGTGGTTGGTGTAGTTGTAAAAGCGTAGGCTCTTAAGTTTGAGACTTTGTGTTTGAGTATAAGGGCATTCATTTTTGTGTAAGTGATGCTGAAGGCCAGGTATAGTCAGTTTCTCCCAGCACCCTCAACTAATGGTAACTACATTGATAATGTCCTCAGACCCTTGTTGAACATGACACAGCATGAATGCAGGATATTTGGTAGATGCATCTGTATTCATCTAGGATTTCCAAGAAAAAGAGTAGAAAAATGCTTGCTTAAAATTCATAAACTCTCCTTGCTACTTTCTTTATGTGGTCTTTTACTGCACAAAGATTTCAAATCATTGGATAAACTTTAATTTTTGTGATGCTCTGATTTAGTTGTCAAGAATTAATACAAAAGAAAAAAACAAATACTGTAATAATTGACCTTTTAAACCAAATTTGTTGCAAGGTTCCTAGTTTCGTTTATCTTCCTATGGTACAATATCAACCAAGGATATGAGTTAATAAAGTTGGATACTTCAATTTAGCCATCTTCCTCCATAATATCTAGAGGTTAGACATAGGCATTTATTGCTCATATGTATAAAAAGTTGATGTAACATCGGTGAGACCCTATATCTGTTCGCCTGGATCGTTTTAATTTCAGTAGGGGTTTGTTTTGTTTGATGTAGCTGTCTCTTAAAGAGCTCGTAAATGGCAATCTGATGATCTCTTATGTGTTAAGGTTTTTTAACAACTTTACATTATGCTGAAGCGGTTCATCACAGCAATAAAAAAATGGAATATAGTTATGCTAGCTTTTTTAGTATCATGTTTTTTGGAACTAGGAATATCACGTACATGTATGCGCAGGTTTGCAAATGAATGGAGCAGAGTCTAGTCAAGATTTAGGTTGTTCAAGCTTAGCTTGGCAAATTTTGGGAGGTGTTCAATCCTGACTCTGTTGGATTGAGCTTACCCTGGTATGTGTGTATCAATAGGTAATCCATTCCCACCTAACTTGTATGTGTGTATATGTGCATACATACCTAATCATTTTCATTGTTGGAAGAAATCACCACCTACCGCCATCCAGTTGTTGATCTTCACCATCAATGTTTGATGACCAAAGCTTCACGCTATCGAAAGGCACTCCCAGTTCCATTACTGATTTCAATATGTGATAAATGTGAGAGGGTGAGACCGGATTATTTGAGAGATAGAGATACCTAATTGGCAATCAAGTTGTGTTGGTCAGGTTGAAGTACAGTTATCATTGTGGTCTTGGATGAGTGGTTGGTGCTTGTTGCCGCTTGATTGTTGCTGCTAGCTTCTACGAAGTGTGTAACTATGATTAGGAGACCGAGACCGAGAACGAGAATGAGAATGAGAAAGAGAGAGAGGAGATATTAGGCTGTACATAGTTACATGGTAGATGGGCTTGGGGACTAATTGAGTTTAATAAAAATAAAAATAAAAAAAAGAGGATGAAACTATATAATATGGGTTGAGTTGGGATGGGCTTTAATTAAATAGTTGAATGAGCCTTCTTTATGTGGGCTAAACTTGTAAAGTTGTGAAGTTATTTATGTTTACTTTCACGAGTTTAAAATGAGCTGGTGAATGAGCCTATTCAAGGACGTGTTTGAAACATAACAAGCCAAGGCTTGTTTGGGCTTTCTGGACTTGGTTTGTTTAATGATTGAAGTTTGAACTTGGAAGTTGTGTTTGAGCTCAGTTCTTTTGCTAAATAAACGGACACAAACCAAGCCCTTATCGAGCTGAGCTAAAGTTGTTCATGAGCAAGTCGTTCCATTTGCAGTCCTAGTGTACCTATATTATAGAAGATTTAAACGAATTACACTATTGCATATGATATATATCATCTCATGCAATTCTCAACTGATTATGTTTGTCGGACAAGGTATCTGTCTTTCTAACATTTAAGTCAATTATTGCTCTATTATGAGGGTATTTAGACTTGTTCTATGCTTTGTGCGGTCAATCTTTATCATTATGTATTTGATTTAGGCCCGTTAAGGATGTGATAAGCTGTGAGCTTTTAAAAAGATATATAGGTTCTCGATTCTCTCCATTTGAGTTAACCTTAGTTTGAATAGAGCCGTCGGTCAAATTTAAATTTTTGGTGGGTGTCTGATTGAAATATAAATTATATGATGATTTGGATCTATTATGCAAATTTAACTGTGCATTTATCTATGTGGATAGTATAAATTAGAACTTTGTATGTAGATTCTTTTCTAGTGATGTTAGGATCTGCTTTCAATGTATTCTTTTATATATTTTTCTAAAACTTCATAATCAATCCTTATGTTACTGTATGCTTTGTGAATTTTGATCCTCTTTACTAATGGAAGTTAAAAGAGAAAATCAACTTCTTGTTCCTTGATAGTGCATTGATTCAACTCCATTCGCATCGACAACTTTTGATTGTCGTGTTTCCAACTGGTGTTATATTGATGTTATATTCAGCTTCTCAAAAATATATTCACTTCCTACCCTTCTTGTGTGGCTAATAGCGACTCACCTTCCTTTAAAAAAATGGTACTGATTTGGGTTGCAAATAGTAGTGTTATGGCTATTAAACTGAGGACACTTCTTGTGAGAGAACTTATGGTTAATTTCTGGTGTTTAATTCATTTAAGGGTCATGTAGAGGCAAATTTTGAATTGATCAGAAGTCTATGAGAATACAGAGTTTATGTTGGGGAAACTAACAAAGAGTTGGTATAGTATGTGTGTGTCCCTACAAGGGATTGACAAAATATATTGTTCCTGGACTATTTTTTCTTCTCTCTTATTCTTCCCCCTGGAACTAAAATTCACACATTTTAAACATAATATTTATTTTTGATTGTTTAGCAAAGGTTCATTGGACTGCCGATACCCGCTCTTATATGTCATAACCAGATGATCTGATAGTTCTTTGGGTTTTCTTGTCCATTTTAGGCATGTAACTTTCGTCTTACCGAGCCATGATTATTACAATAATTACGTGAATTCCAAGTCTCTGGAGACATGATTCTTGTATATTTTCTTACAGGCGACCAACTTGTGTTAGCGGTCTTGAAAATGATATTTGGTTGACTAAAATTTTATATGTTCATGTCCCTTCACTTTGAGCGTTTAAAATTAAAAGCTAAAATTGTTGATGGTATCAACAGTTCTCTGGTGTTTGTTTGTATTACTTCCATGCATGTATCATTTTTACCGTAGTTCATCATGTCACCGTGTAGTGACTGTAAGTTTCCATTTTTATACATTGCTAGACTTTTTATTAGCTTCTAATGTCAAAGACCAAAATTGGTTGAGATTAGAAACAGTTTTTCTCTCTGGGTCTTCATGATGCTTCTATGTTTTTCTCTCATGGTTACCGTAGTATCTTATGTATGCTTTAATGATCTCATTGCTTTTGCAACCAATTCTTCCCTTCATTCAGTATTATGTTCAATTTAATTTCTCAATGGTTGTCTTCATGATGTGTGATGCAGCACTTCTGGATGCTCATTTGGGGATGGATGTCACTTCCTGCATTACGTTCCTGGCTATAATGCAGTTGCTCAGTTGACAAACCTGGGTGGAAATCCGGCTAGTCATCCTAATGCAAGAAACACCATGGCCCCACCAACCTTCAGTGATGGTCCGGCTCCGTCTGTCAAAAGCAAGCTTTGCAACAAATTCAACAGTCCAGAAGGATGCAAATTTGGTGACAAATGCCATTTCGCCCATGGCGAGATGGAGCTTGGCAGGCCAAGTATGCTACCTGGTGAAGATCACCGTGCTATGGGACCGAGAGGTGGCAAGTTCCCTGGACGGGTCGAGCCACCTCCACCTGGCTTAGCTGCTGCAGCCAACTTCGGTGCGTCAGCTACAGCCAAGATCAGCATAGATGCAACCCTTGCTGGAGCCATCATTGGAAAGGGTGGTGTGAACTCGAAGCAGATTTGTCGCCTTACTGGTGTTAAGCTTTCGATAAAGGAGCACGAGTCAGATACAAATCAAAGAAATATCGAGCTTGAAGGAACGTTTGATCAGATTGGACAGGCTAGTGCCATGGTACGTGAGCTGATTGTGAACCTTGGTGCTTCAACAGGTGGTCCTCCAAGAAATCCTACCATGAAGCCTGCTGCTCCAGTAAGCAGTTTCAAGACAAAGATGTGTGAGAATTTTGCAAAAGGGTCGTGCACGTTTGGGGATAGGTGCCATTTCGCCCATGGAGCTATCGAGCTGCGAAAGCCAGTAGCATGAGGGTTTCTTTGTAACCCCCATCATTTAGTTGTCTGGTGCAACTTTTTGGAAGAATGACATTGTTAGCAAGTATTTTAATTTACTGAGTGTTTTCCTTATTATAATTGTTTGCTCGAGTCCCTTATCTTCAGGTAGGGTTATTGTGATCATATTAAGGCTTGTTAAAACCGTGTTAGGATTTGAGTTCCTTTAATATTTTGTTTGCTTGTACCACCTTTTTGGCGAGGAAATCTAGTAAAAAAATTATGGATGATAACAGCAGAAACATTATAGCTGGTAGCACATTATGGAAATATTGTGATTTCCGTTGAACAATAAATCAGCTATTATTTTCGGTCAGTTAATTTTGCATACCACCACCATTATAAACCATTGATGTGGAAGCATGTACCCTACCACCTTTAAGAGCAGGACTATTTTTTGGGGTTAACGCCCCGCTCGAACCCACGACCACCTACTTTGAAAGGTGAGGATCAAATCCCTCCAATTGTAGAACACCTGTAAAAATGTTGATACAAGTCCTATTATAAATATTTTACAGCATTTTGTCACGAACTTGGACTTTTCCAAGCTCATTTGCGGCAAAACCCCTTTGTGGATAGCAGTGTCAACCAGAATCTGCAATTTGTGAATCAAGTATTCATTCACCAGTCTTTCTCCTAATAAATAAAATAAGGACAAACAAGAGGGACTTTCTTTCTATTAGGTACAATAATGTATTGGACGTCAAAGAAAATTATACCTAAACAATGGGATACAGATTGACGGGCAAAAGAGCCATCACTGTCAATCTAAGTTCGATGAGATGATAACATAGAAAACTCCAACTATCTCCCCCTCTGGACAAGTTCAATCGCCAAAATAGCAATTGAAAAATAAGCCCATACTCATGAAAGAATGGAGCTCATCTCCGCAGTGCTTCACATTATAGTGTCAATTAAAGATCAGAGCATCTTGGGAAGAGATATCCCTAGTCAGGCTTGGCATCTCACTCTCTTGTGGGATTGTCATAGATTGGCCGGCAATACAGATCCATATCAAGTGATGCATGAATTGGTCAGCAGTTCTTCGCCATAACTGGCAGACAATCACCAACAATAATAAAAACTACTAAATGAAATGGTAACATGAACAATGATCCTCAATGATGTTGTTAAAGAGAAAAGAGAGAATTGGATTATGGAGCTCTAGAAGTGACAACATATAATACTCATGCCATGAGCCACACACAGCCATTATCAATTTATCATTAAGATACCTTCCATGAGAAACCATAGTTCAATGCAGTCACTAAAAAAAAAAAAGTATCGTAAACGCATCTCAAATCCCAATAAGGGGAGGAAGTATGGTGAGATAATTAAGCTGATTCAATTATTTCTATGGTTGAACTATATTACAATAGTAAGGTTATTTCATTGTGACCTATAGGTCATGGGTTCGAAACAAGGAAACGGCATCTCCACATGCGAAGGTAAGGCTGCGTACATCTGACCCTCCCCAGACTCCGCAATTGCAGGAGCCTCGTGCACAGCATTTGCCCTTTAATTATTTATATGGTTCATTCCTCCAGGACAAAACCAAATGTGAGCTGAGAATCTTAACTCGTGAACTACCCAACACAATCAATCTTGCCATGCCATCTGCCTACTTCAGGGCAAATATTTGAAATATGGTCCATATACATATAGGAAAGCAGTATGTATTTAGCTCCAAAATAATCATCACTACCAAAGAATTACTTCCAGAATGGAACTAATATACTAAGTGATGAAATTTAATTTGAAGTTCCACAAAGAAAAACCTTGTGATATTATTACTCATTGCCTCATCCAACCTCCATCAGCAGACCTCGCAAATATATGTGGCTGCTTCATTGGAAAGGTATCTCTCCAGTCTGGGTGTTGAATCAAATAGTCCCATATCCTTCATAAATAGTCAAAAACAAAATATTTCATAATCTAATTATTCATTCTTCCAAATTAAATATGCCACAAGAGCTTTCGTAATTGGACTCTCAAAAGCTGATTTACACTTATTAAACCCATGCACAAGCACATTACATATATTATACATGTATAAAAAGAAAATATATATCTATATATTTTTTAAGTATAAAAAACTTGGTTGCCTGTCAAGGAAACATTGAACTATTTAATTGTATATGCATATATTTTGTGCCATTTCCATATAAGATTAATTAGAATTGGTCAGCTGGAAGAACAATGATATTTTAAGTAACAGGACAGCATTAGAAAGTTAAAAAATAATTATTAATGCATGGTGCACACGTGATAATAACAGAATAACTGAACAACTTCAAATCCAAGTTTAGGAATCCATTTGTCTTTTGTCTATATCTATAAGGGTTAAGTGCAAAAAAATCCCCCTGATATATAGGGTTTGTGCAAAACTAATCCCTACTTTTTAAAAATGTGCATATTAGTCCATAAAATTCAAAAAAGGTGCAAATAAGCCCCTCTGACCACTTTTTTACAAGAAGTAAAAATGAAAATCCTATGTTACCCTTTTGATTCCCATTTTGCCCCTCACCCATATGTGCATTAAATTGGGCATTGCCCATATATTTCGGGTATAACCCATGCAAGTCTAACCGTTTGCATATTCGGGAACAATCCGAATATCTCCGGCTGGACCAACAATATTAGCAACTAAACGGAAATCACTCTCTCTCTTTCATCTCTGTAATGTCTCAATGATGGCTCTAGGATTGGGGCAAGAATCTGATTCAATTAACCCTCTCTCTTGGGGGCCAATAGATGGAATGAGATAGGTCGCTATCTCCTCAAGCGAGATCTGAGAGAATCAAGAAGCAGCTGACCAGGACGAAGCCCCATCTTCGTCCAGAGAATGAGAAACAACAATAACAATGAAGGACGAAGAGGATTTTCCTAGAAAACCATTGTTTTCTCTCTTAACAATCACCGCAATTTTCTCTCTTCAACCCCTCCGTGGTGGCCGATGGCGGAGGTGGCAAAGTGGCCGTCATGGCCAAGCTTGCCAAATCCATCTCCCCAACGCCGTCCGGCTGGTCCAGCTCCAACCACTGCAAGTGGACCAGCGTCTCCTGCGACTCCTCCGGCCGAGTCTCCAACATCAACCTCTCCTCCAAATATCTCTCCGGCGAATTACCCAGCTTTCTCAACCCAATTCTGATTCCAATTACGAAGTAGGTCCAATTACGATAAGTCAAACCCAATTCTAATTCCACCACTTCCCATAGCTAATACATCATCAATGAGGAAATCATTCTTGCTTCTAGCCTTAGCATGCCTTTAATTCTCAAACCCATTAACCAAATTGAAGCAATTAACACAATCTCTAGTAATCTTGGCCGTCAATTTTAGGTTTAGTGGGTCCTACTAGCTTTTGCAATTGGGGTTAGTTTTTTTTTTTTTTTTCCTCTTTTTGATAAGTGAATAAAAGGGTCATTTTACATAGCCTGTATTTATAATTATTAATTTATTCAACTGAAGTGAGGGTATTATCGTCATTTTATACCACACAGGGACCTATTTGCACCAAATTGATAGTATAGGGTTTTTTTTACCACACAGGGACCGTTTTGCACTATATTGATAGTAGAGGGGGGTTTTTTTGCACTTAACCCTATCTATAATTGTTAAGTCTGTGATCTTGGGGAAATGACTTTTATCTGGAGAAAAATACGCAACAATAGACTCCATTGAATGAATATCATATATATTTATAATTAGTCATTATAGCCAAACAAGAGTTGATTTTATTCAATTCAACAATTGACCAAAATGTCTAAATAAATATCTTTTATCATGTCATGTATCTTTTAACAGATTAATTACCAGCTTAATTATTTAATGATAATTTCATTGCCAAAAATTTGATTCTTAGATTATCAATCCATATTCCATTAGTCGGTAGCTATCACAATGAAAAGTATCTTGATATCCCAAGCTTAAAGCTTTGAACCTAAGTTCTGACACTGTTGACATTAGTAACCAAGGTGCAAGTAAATGAGAAGTTGTATGATACAATAGCTAAGAGCTGCAAGGGCCTCAGGTTACATGTTTTTCTTATGTTTAAAAAATTAGTTTGTAGTAATAAATTACTTTTGAAGGAACCGACTTGGTCCATGGTGGATACTTGTAATTGCGTTGCCTTAGAAGTAATCCTATTAGGAAATATCATAATCATTAATTATTTGAATGCAAATACACACAGAAGAAATTGAATAGTACTCGCATATGTCAAATTTCATGCAGTGAAATTTTGAACTAATCAAATACACAAAATAAGTACCTTATTTCACCAACAATTAAGCAAAATTTAAAGAACATCATGATTATTTTTTTCTTCCTTTTTTATAGGCAAGACATACTCATGCACCCACTTTGTGCCACTTGGGTCTCGAACTCTCAACCTTCTCTTTTAAGATGTACATGTCCATGATAATGTTGGAAATATTTTTGAACACAAACTTATAGTCCTTTATTGTTTCTGTAGCAAGTAGCCTTGTAACTAATCCTATTAGGAAATATCATAATATCATTACTTATTTGAATGCAAACATACACAGAAGAAATTGAATACTACTCATATGTCCAATTTCAGGCAGTGAAATTTTTAACTAATCAAATACACAGAATAATAGCTTATTTCACCAACAATTAAGCAAACTTAAAGAACATTGTGATTACTTTTTTCTTTCTTTCTTCTCTTTAAGATATAAATGACCATGATAATGTTGGAAATATTTTTTAACACAAACTTACAGTCCTTTCCTGTTTCTGTAGCAAGTTAAAGAAATTTTTGCTAAATAAATCCACTAATAACAAATTTCGTGATCCCAAAATTAAAATTATTGGAGATGTGATTGTACCTTCTCTCGTTATCCACAAAATCTGGGCCCTCAGCAGAAGGTGAAGTAGAACAATTTAGGAGGATTTCTGAATCAGAGAGGTCTCGCAGTGCCAGAGCACTGTGTGATAAGCTCATGGTCCTATTAGTAGTGAAAAACACCAAAAAACATCACTACGACTGGAATATGAAAATAAAGCAATCAATAGACAACTGTAAGACATTTTCTCTTAAAGGAAAAAAATGAAATATGAAAAAAATGACAACATGATTAGAAAAAGCATAAATTGTCATTGCTTTATTCATCAAACTATACCATTATTCATCAAACTATACCAATATGAATGAGGTCAGCCAAATAAATTCTCTTTCCACTATTGTCTAATAACTTCTCTGGTTGTTAATTTTGGTTAATCTCTCATCTCTTACCTTCTACGCAAACTAATTTTCCTCATGTTGGATATCAACAAAAAACGAGTAGACTAAGGAGCTCAGACAATTCAAAGGTGGAGTCATGTCCTTGCCCAACACTTGTTGGGCACAAACACTACTTAGACATTCTTGAACATATGTCATATCTTCAATATGTCTATAATCAGAAAATAAATTAAATAGTTCTGGAAACCTGAAAGGCACTCCTTTTTTCTTTTTCTTTTTTCACTCCTTGAACACTCTAAAACAGAAAAAAATTAATAATAATAATACTCCTTAAACGTTTGAACAGTACTTTTTCAAAGTATTTAAGTAAATATGACTTGAGGGATTATACAAGATATATTAAATAATTTGAACAAAACTACAAACAAAAGAATAAAATACGGAGAGAATTCGAGTAAAGGAATAGAGATGGAAGATGAGAGAAGAGATCACAATTGTGTTGCTTAAGCAATAAAAAGGGGTTATCGTGATTATGAATGCGCATATAAATATTCATACATTAATACTGCCGGTCCTTTTACCGAGTGTCCTATAATAAACTTTACTGCATCAACATGTCCATATTGTGCTATGTCCATGTCCATGCAAATTACGGTCTAGAGCAGCATTTTTACCAAGAGCATGGGGCAATAATGAACTGGTCAGTGTGAGTATTATATGTATCTAGTAATCTGCCCTTCCAACTGGGATCCCCGAAGGATGCCATCACTCGGATCCTCCTAACAATTTCATCTGGACATCTTGAAGTTCTATCGAAACTGGCTGGAATGATAGATCCAGTAGAAGTTTCTACCTGAAAGAAGAAACATACGTGGAAGAAACATAAATTTACATTTTAAAAGTTGAGATAAAGGCTAAGCCAAATGAATGCTTAAAATAAGAATTTCATTATCTTGTCCTCAGAAAATTAGAACCAGCTACATTCAAATTTTCTCCTAAGAGTTTAAATCAATGCCGTATGCTACTAACAAATAAGTGAAACATTCATGGCAGATCAAATTTTTAAAAAATAATAATAATAATACTTGATACAAGCATAGGTATAATGCATCTTACTGAATCCTATTTGCAAGCTCCATATTTAGCATTATTTTTCGAACTGCTTACTACATACTAAAATAAGATATTAATCATAAATAAATAAGGGCAGAAATGGATGTCCCGTTAAAATTTAGTTGCCCAATATTGTTCTGTATGTATATCCATCAACAAACCTACCATCATGTATCAGGTACATGGACCATTACAAAGAATAGGAGCCATCAGGAGAACCGATTGTAGAGTCTACCTAATTTGGTGATCCTTACAGTGAAAAGGAATTCTATCAACTTTACTAACATTATTCAAGAAATGTGTAGAGACACGATGATTAAGGTTATAAAGGTAGGTTTGACACTAAACATCAGCATTAAAACCATACTTGTTTACACTAGTTTTAGATAAAGTAACAAAAGATACACAAGGAGACATTCCATGATGCATGTTATTTGCTGATGACATCTGTTACACTCTTCTATGGAAACTCTAGCAATAAAATCAAAACATGAAGAAACGCATTAGAATCAAAGTGTTTACAAATTAGTAGAAGTGGAGAGCAAATGATAAAGGGAATGACAATGTAATGATAACAGTTCAAGGGTCAAGGAATTATCCAAATAACCATTTTTTAAAAAATTTAGGATCAATAATACAAAACAACAAGAAGATAAATGATGACTTAACAAGCAGTATTAAAGTAGGTTGGGCAAACTAGAAACAAGCTAGTGGTATCACATGTGATAGAGGATATCGAATATGTTAGAATGAAAACTCTACAATAAAGTTAAAAGTTATTAGACCAACTATCTTACATAGTACCGAATGTTAGGCATCAAAAATAAACAAGAATGACACATTAATTTTGTTGAAATGAAAATATTGACATAGATACCAAAGGCGGTGGTCAAGTAGTATCTCTCCCCTACCTCCCAAAGTGGAAAGTGAGGTTTCGAGTCCCCATAGGGATATGGGCAAATGGGTGTGAGTTTCTTGCCAGGGGAAAAAAACATATTGAGAAGGATGATAGATAGGAGTAACTATAATAGACATGATTATGAGAGAGATTAAGAATTGAAAATAATGGTGATAATAAATTTAAAAAAAAATAATAATAAATAGGCTTAGCTGGTATGGACATATAATGTATAAGAAAAGAAATATTAGTTAAAATAGAAGTTAAGCACACCAAACTAACATGATGAAGTGATAAAAAAATCCAACAAAACTAGATAAAATAGTTTAAATTGCATAAATAAAAATTAGTATAAGAAGAGCATTCATGTGGCCAACTCATTTGGATCAGACCAAGGCAATTATGATGATAATGATACGTGACAACATTAATATATGTGTAGGTGTGTGCATAGATTTAATTTATGTAAACTATGTACAAATAATAATTTTTTACGTAAAATATACATATATCCTAGTTTTCGCCATTGGTTTCTGGTCAAGACCTTGGAAGGGAATTGATTCAAGCCCTTCCAATTCCGTTATTTGGCGTCTTGATTCGGACACTTTAATGCCACTTAACAGCGAAGAGAAAGATCCCGATTGGTTGGCAATGATTGCCTCAGTGACAAATAAACATTCTTTTGAACTCTCAAGTATTCTATATTTCTAACTCATAATTAAGATTCACGTTGGAAAAACATAATTAATCCATGGCTATGGATGTAGGAAAATTTTCAAAACTATTTATCCTCCTTTTATCTCAGTTATTTTTCCCATATGTTTGAATTGCTCGCCGTGTTTTCCATAAGAATCATTCCCCATCCTCATATTAAATGTATAATGTCCCTTTTAAAAAATGAATTATTTTTTGAAAAATATACGTTAAATTTGCCATTTAAAAAAAAGGTTAGCATACAAATCATCATCATCCTTGCTTTTATCACAAACGAATGGGGTTGTCCGAATGAATTCCTTTTTTATTCTATTCTATGACAAGCCATGTCTCCTCTTATATTTAATTTTTAAAGGCATTTCTAATTACTTCATCCCAAGTTAGTTTTGTTCAACCAGTTGTCTCTTACCTTCTAACCAAACTAATCTTCCTTTTCTCATTATTGCATTTGCGGGTCTACATTATATGTGTACATACCACCTAAGCCTACTTTATCTTATTTTGTCACTAAATAGGTGCTAATCCTAATCTCTCCCTCACACTTTGATTTGTAAACCTATCTCTTCAAGTCTTTCCTATCATCCATGTCAGTGTTCTCATTTAGCTGCATGAATGAGTTGTTACTTGCTTCTTTTTAAACAACTGCCCCATATAAGATAATTGGCCTAATAATTGTCCTATAAAATTTTCATTTTAACATCATCATCATCCATCTTCCTACTACTTGTATCATCATCCATTTTCATGTCTGTTTGTATTATTGATCCTACGTATCGATTACTCCGAGTAATACTTAGGTGTTCAACTGTTTTTGTTATGTTATCACTTTCCCAGACTTTATATATTATGTTTTAATCTTACTGATTCTTAATTATTTTGTATTTAATGTATTACTCCATATTTCTAATTTTGTTTCCAAGACTTCCTTAGAAGTATCCAACAACACTAGTCATTAACAAACAACATGCACTAACCATGGAATGTCTTCTTGTATATTTTTTGTTATTTCATCTAAAACTATTGTAAACAAATATGGGGCTTAGTATTGTAAACAAGTATGAAATTTCGTTGTTTTGTTATTTCGTTACAGGTATCAATACATATAAAAAGAAATTTTAGAGGGACGAGTAAAAACAATCAATATTTTGAATCCAATTTGAATGCATTTAATGCAATTTCTTTTTCTTTTTTTTTTTTTGATTAGTGCATTTAATGCACTTTCTTAAATAGTTATATTCCCCAAAAGGGGCATTCAAATCAGGGCAGAGGTAGTATACAATGATATAACAGATTTATGCCATGCACTTTCTTAAACAGTCATAATCCCCAAAAGGGGCATTCAAATAGGGGCAAAGGCAGTATACAATGCTATAACAGATTTATGCCATCTCAATGTTCAAGACATGTCAGACACATATCCCAAAGTACCAAAAGTATCGTTATCCAATTTAAAAACAATACAGATGTACTTCCCTTGTAGAAGTATTCGCACTTCATAATTGTCTCTCACGTGATCGTACTCAAGTTTCAAATAACAAGATTAACCTATGAAAATTTGAGTCCAAGATTGAAACTAAAACAATCTTGAACACGAGCAAGTTGGCAGTACAGATGAAGTGAAACTGTGAAAGGACTCCCTTTACATCTTTAATGAAGACAAACTGAATGCGCATGCTCATTCTAAATGTTTTTATTCAAAAAAAAAAGGAAGAAGAAGAAGAACTTAAATCACCAGCACAATGAGCACAACCCAGGCACTAAAAAAAGAAGGGAATTCATAAAATTAAAGCTGACCAAGAAACCATTAAAAACAGGGACTGCATTTCCTTCCGAATTCCATCCGGTGTTATGCCCAAGAACATGTAGAGTTTGAATGTGAAATTTTTCCCTCCTCCTTTGCAAAATTTCAACTATCTTCATACACAGACGAAAGGAGTGCCTGTCCAACTTTGAATGGCTCTCTGATCTAGTACCAATATCGGCATGCTGCATCCAAAGTTCAATATATTCAGCCTTAATAATTCTGCTTTGACCGGCTAACTACATCTCTGGAAATCAAAGACAAAGTAGAGGATCTCGAACCAAACTTGAGGTAAGGCATCGTTAAAAGAACCAATAAGATGCACCTGCATTTTACACCATGGCAGAGGTTACAATATGTATGCAGAACTACCCAGAGCCATTAAATAAAATAATCATGAAGCGAACAAAAAGTTTTGAAGGAAACAAAGAAGAATACATCCAACTCGGTATCAGCGTCATGATCCACAACTAAAGATAACATCTGGGTGAGGCCGATATCAACAACATTTGGAAAATCCATATGGGAAACAGAGGTCCTGTGATCAAGATATTCAAAAGCATAATTAGAAACTTCAGAATCGAAAATTTCATAAAAAATATAAAAATTCATATATATAATGCATCACATTCTTACATTCCACTTTTGCGGTTACGTAGGACAAGGCCCACACAGGTAGTTGCTTCATCAGTGCCAACTAACTTCTCATGAAGAGATGAGAAAGAAGACATAGATGTTCAGTACAACGAAGTGACAAAACAAACTTACTTTAATATGGGGAATTGAATCTGACAACCACTGTCCTTGGAGGAGAATTACAATGATTCATGGTGCAACAATATATGTTATATGGTAATTGAATTGGGGGTATATTTACAGAAGGCTATACTAAAATGGGAGTTCAAAATTCAATTGGAAGACAGTTCACTTTTGCTTTCCAGAAGAAAACAGAAAAGGGCAAATTTTTGTTGTTTGCTAGTGATGGCAAATGCGAAGGCATAGGGAATCATTAAGGAATGAAAAGAAAAAGAAAAAGGAGGGCTGTAAATAGGATTTTAATGAAATATAAAGAGGGGCGGAAAAAAATTTCAATATTATCTGTCAATGAAGAGAAGACCAAAATGCATGAACAGAGCCATGCTCATTACTTTTTTTTTTTTTTTTGGGGGGGGGGAGGGGGGGGGAGGTTTAATGATCACTGGTTTTTCAAGGGGGAAGGCTGCATTATATCCTTTATTTATGACATTGAAATGAGACCACCTACCCAAAAAGTTGAAATAATGAATTTCCATAGATTACATAATGCAAGGGGATAAACATATAACACAAGAATGAATCTTTCTAAACTGTAACTTTAGTAACACGAGAGACTACCTTGCCTGAAAAGCTGAGGAACAACCCCAACAGCATGACAATTCCCTTGATGGAGTCAAATTTGGAGACAAAGTGTTTGTCAAGCATATACTACCTTTTACCATGTCCATCAAGAAATTTGCAGCTTATTGGATTTATTGAGGTGGACCGAAGAATATGGTGTTGCTCAACAAGATAATCAATTAGTCCAACTGATGATAATAGATAAAGGCTTAGGACCTCAGGTTGGTGGGAACTAACTCATAATAGGAGTGTCAGCATAGATAGCAATGGGCAAATAAACTAGTAAAAAAAAAAAGGATACTGTACTGTAAAATTTAAATCACATGTCTGAGCATAAAAAAGTACTTGCTTGAAAAAGTAAAGACATGAACATACATCCACAAGGGCAGGGTCAACAGTTGCATATTCTCTTTGAAAAATATAGACACATTTACTTTGTCTTGTTCTCTCAGAACCATATTCTTCAGAAACTGAGAACTTCCTCTCTGGAATAGCCATGAATGAACTTGAGGCAGACACCAGAATAGGGTGTTCCATCAAAGCGACCAGGGTATTATTTCCCTGTTTACAGTTTACAGTTTTTCAGGTCTTTCAGCTATTCACTATTTAGTGCAGAAGTTAAAAAAAAAAAAAAATTAAAGCAGATCATTCCAGCAAAAAGAGAAATGCACCATGGTCTAGTAAAGAGAATATTCTGATACTAATTTTCAGATATTTTAATGTTTAATCCATCATGGTAAAAATTCACCCACTTTTGTGTGTGGAATAGTGAAATAGGATTCAGTAGTCACCATTTTATTGGATGTAGATTTGATAAAGATATACAACCACATACCCCAAGAGGATATCAAGGGGCTGGGAGTTATAGCAGTTGTTATGTTCCAGTTCCACAATATCAATTTTGATACATAAAAAGACAAATTAACAAGTAAATAAACATGTGGTTCAAGAGAGGCATGATCCGTGTTGCGACAAATGCAGAGAACCAAGAACAAATCACGAATCACGACCGAACAGTAAACATGCCCCACACAAAGAACAAAAAGATTTAGCATGGTACGACACAAGTTGTGTCTACATCAATGAAGATCTGGCGAAAGGTTTTACTATGCAAAAAAACGGGAGATTACCAGTTTCAGCACCCAAATCCTAGCTCTCGCTTTCACTTTTTTTTTCTCCGATTTTCAGTGTTTCTCAATCTCCCACTCCAAACCCTAAGTACCCTTACATACCGGGTTACAAGAGAGTACTAAAATAGGGTCCACGACCCGCAAGCAAAAAAAAAAAAAAAGGAAAAGAAGAACAGGTCAAAAAAATTTCTAACATCACAATCCACAATTAGTGTAAAGGCTATTGTTTAAATGGGCCTCTAAATTTGACAAAAGCATCGAGGCCTTCTTCCACAGTTTTTCTTCTTTTCATTTGTAGAAAGAGAGATTATGGGAATGTCACTAAAGTTTTCTCAAAAGCAGGGTTCAACTGAGCCATTATCATCTCTAAGATTCTTTAAATTCAATGCAAAACGCACGCTCTCTCAATTTCATATTGATTATTAAAATTAGTTTTACACATCCCAACTCCGGAGAAAATACTGTTTGTTTGTCTTATGCGTTCATGCTTACAACAATTTATAAGGTGATTAAGTTATTTTGAGGAGAGACATAGTCATGTGAGGAAATGAAATCGCAAAAAGCTTTCATGTTATACTAATTTTAAGATCAAGCAATATCTGGTCAGCAATTCATATTGTTTTTTGGCATTCCAGAACCCAAAAAACCTAATGATGAGTAATTAATACAGAGGGAGAAATAAGCCTGGATTTCTATTAAGAAATGATCGCAAATGGTTTTCATCTCACTTAGTGAATCAATCAACTTAATTCACTGCCCGTGGATTCAATAAAGTCTCAGAATCGCAATTATTGCATTCAGAGAATGTGAGTTCTCATCATCTTGTTCATCAGATTTTACAATTTCAAAACCAACCCAAAACATTACAAACTAACAGCCTCTCAAATCACTCTGTGATCCGACACTATACTTTTAACGCTAAAAAACACAAGAAGCCCAGAGGTAGGTTGTCCCATTTTAATGGGAATTATATTGCTATTGTACTTATTTAATTGAATATCCCCACATACTAAAAATAAAACAAATTCAGACTAAGTCTTCAAAGCATTGTTGAATTATGATAGAGATTGGCACCGAGTAGAACTGACTGTGGGACTTGGTGCAATGGTAAGGTTGCTCCATTGTGACATAGAGGTCACAGGTGCGAAACAAGGAAACAGCCCTTTTGCAGGCAGCGGACATTTGATCCAGGAGTCGTGTGCATTGGGCAAGCCCTTTTAATGGTACCAAGCAAAACTGTGATGGCACGCAAGAATTACTACTTCCAAAGCCAATCATTATTGGATATGCATTACAATTTACAAATAATTTGTTTTAATTCAACTAATTTTCAAACCCTTTATTTTGATAAAATAAATAGGAATTCCTCAAATACATCTTTAATATTGAATCATATGCCTTCACTTCTACCATCTTTCATTAATCATCAAGTCAATGGCCTCCATAGTGAATCCCACTGTTAATTATTTCCTTAAACTGTATACTATTCTTATGATTTCACAGTATAATCACATATACAATTGATAAATACAGTTTAATTTCTGAAATAATTTTCAATTTATATACAATTGATGGAGAGTACCTGAGACGAAGACGATGAGGAATCAGCAGAAAATGGAACTCCCCCAACATATATCATGATTCGATATATACAAAGCTTCCGAAATGATAGATTTTAGAGAGAGAAAAGGGGTTGGAGAGAGAATCTATCAGTTCTGCAAAGGAAGAACAGAGATCTGAGTGGACGTAAAATTATCACTAATCTTTTTCCTTTTTCTTTTTCTTTTTTTTTTTCCCTTGGTTTCGGGTTCAATTTTAAAATCCGAATTCACTTTTTACGGGAACATTATAAATATGCAATATTAAATTTACAATTATGACTGAATCGTGTAATTTATTGTAAATGAATAAAAATATATAAATATATTATTTATGTATTCGAGAAATTATCAAATGTTTCGGACCAATGGATCATAAATCATTTCCAATCCAATCAAAAGTTATCTCCAGATTTATTTTTATTTTCTTGTAATATTTTATTACAAATCTTATTTAATTCACCTTTTTTTTTTAATCTAATTATAGTTTTTTTTTTATTAACAAAAAAAAAATTCACTAACACATTCACAATGCCCCTATGAAACTTAAACATTAAAGTCTTAATTTTTTATTTTTTTTAAAAGTTAATTTTTTTACTTTAAAACTAGTTTTTTTATTTTTTAAGTGTTAAGTTGTCTAAAATATTTACGAAGAAAAAAAATATTAAAATTTAATAAAATTAATTTATTTATAAATTTTTTACAAATAATTTTACATGACCGATGGACTCGACCTCGAGATTACATTTGTTTTTAGCCTAGATTTGTAAGTAATCAAAATCACAAAATTTGTTCACCGTTTGTTATGGTATAATATTATTTATTTTATTAACTATTAGAATTGATCTTAGGGTAAAATGTAAGAACCCTGAACTATTGAGGTTTTTCAAGTACAAGAATCTTCCCCCAACTTTGATTTTGTTGCATTTTACTGTCATGTTACCGAAAAAGATAAAAACAATTTCACCCTTATTATGAGAGGAAGTAGTTTTGAACTTATATATATATATATATATATATATATACAAACAAACAAACGTATATTTCCAACCAGAGTTGGATAACAGAGAATGTCGGTGACTCGTCGGAATTTGACAACATATTGGATTTGGCCATATGGCCAAAAGCATATGGCCCGAAGTTCTGCATTGATTAAAGACTAGAACATGGCCGAAACTTCATTGTTGAAGACTTTGCACATAGCATGAACTCCATTGTTGAAGACCCATTGAAGAACTCAAACTGAAGGTTTCATCTGATATTCTCAGCCCGGCGAGCTTCCTTTCGTTTCAGACCGATACTTGACCCACACAAAACATAACACCAATTCAATGGCGGTCAGTCGCCACCAACTCCTCACTTCCACCAACAACACCATCTCTGCCCCTCAACGTGAAACATCCACCACCACAAAAATCCACTGCCAGCAGGGAGCCAATGAAGGCCTAAGGGGTGCACATGTCCGGCCTGCACTTTATAATATATAATATATGTTGTAATTTTAAAAAAAAATTACACAGCGCCCCTAAATTTTGTCGTTCTTAAAATTATCTATTTATTTTCTCTTTTACTCTTCAAATTTCTTAAATTTTCTTTCTCAATTAAAACTTTTTAACTTTTTCCTTTTAAGTGCTCTCATTTTTCTTTCATTTTTCTTTTTCTATTATTACTTTTAAATTTTTTTTTTTTAACGTACATATTTGAATAATTTTCTTCTTCTTTGTCTTTTGAATTTTACGGTTGTTATATTATATTATATTATATATATATATACACACACACATTCCTTATTATTTTATTTTTTTTGGGCAACGTGCCCTTTCACTTGAAATCCTAACTCCGTCCCTGACTCCCACCACCCCAAATATACCGTAAAACTCAATTGAACCAAACAAACCCAAGCCACCACCCACCACGCCACCACCATCGGCCGCCTCCTTACCAACCATGACCTTCTATCTAGAAATTCAAATAATTCACACTGAACCGTCAGAACGCCACAAACCTACCCCATCACCCAATTTATGCCACTACCATCATCGTCACCTCACATACATAAACACACATACATATTTTGTTGTTAAACCCCATCCACCCCAATGTTTGACCTTCTTCATTATCGTCGGTGCTATATATAGTGATTCAATTTTCGGATTTTGTAAAAAATGGGTTAGGGTTTTGCAGACACTTAAAGGAACAATTTAGTATTTTTAATCCTCCAAGGTCATTATTGTCTGAATATTACGTATTAGGTATCACGTGACAAACCATTTGCAACAAATTTCAATAGTTCAGGGTTAATTGCAACTTTTGAAGTTTAAGGAGTTTTTTGCAAATTTACTAATAGTTCGGGGGGGTTTATTACATTTTGCAACTTAAAATTGAGATAGAAGCCTTAATTAATTGTTTTGTATTCTTAAAATCAAAATCAGACCAAATTGTACCATAGAATTTATTGGTTCTACTGCACTCTTATAATTAAATTTAAAAAATAATAATAAAAGTTAACACGGTATAAATGAATGTGCCAGTAAAACACAATACAAAATAAGTGAGTTTGGGTTTGACTTAATTGTAGAGACCCGAATTGACACTGTAATTAAATTGTCATATTCGTGTTTGATTCGCTAACCCGTTTAACTAAATGTATGATACATAATAAGAGCCAGTTTGGGATTGCTTTTAGAATGTTAAAAGCGTTTTTAATAGTAGAGCTGTTATAAAAGTGTTGTCCCTTGTAAGGCGCTAACTATGGAAGATGGTATCGC